TTTAAGAAGAGACTGGAGAGCCATTTGAGATAGGGTCTCTTGCCTGAGGAGTGGGGTTGGACTAGATAACCTCCAAGGTATTTTCTAACCCTGTTTCCATAGGTTGGAACGGTAGTTACAGTGGTACTGAAAAAAAACAACTCATAACTTCGTCCTGAGTTCTGACGCTGTTTTTTTTTTTCCTTCCCAAAGTTGGATAAGAAGAAAGACCCCTTCAGTCTGGCTGCAGGACCCTCCCCCCAGCAGGAAGGGAACAAGACCCTCAAGTAGGTACCTCGGGGCTTTGACCACCTTTGGAACACAGAACTGAAGAAGAAGTCCTTTTTTTTATTAGATGTTTGCCAACTTCTGCGGCAAATTCGGTTCCTCGGCACAGTCCCCTTCATGCTAGCCCAAGGAATATTTGAATTGCTCAGAAAGGGACTTTGCTGCTTCTATTCCCTCCCTCTTTTTCTTTCCTTTTCTCTTTTCCTGTATTTGTTTTGATAAATGATTCAAAGCGGCAAACACACACACTCTACTTTGGGGGGATAGATTTGGGGGAACGCTAGGCCTCTGTTTGCATTTGGACCAGTCTTTTGACTAGCGCAGAGGTGGGTGGGAACTACGGCCCCCTTTGTGCCTTGTGGACTCCCACCCCCAGGATTCCTGGGCCAACAAGGGCCACCGCCCCCACCCCGTCTGCTCGCGCTTTTCAGTGGCTCAATCAACCCCCGTCTTTCTTCCAGGCCTCTCCTGATGTTTACCATGGAAAACTGCTTCTACCTGCTCATCTCTCAGGCGGTTCGGTATTTGAAGGACCCGGCGGTGCACTCACGCGATAAACAGCGCATGAAACAGGAGCTCAGCTCAGAGCTGGTAAGGGAGCCGCCCTGGCTCAGGGCAGAGGGCTCGGGCTGCCCTTCCCTTCCTCCCTGGCAGCAGCTGCCCTTCGCTGGGCATGAATGGGAAGGTGGCCGTCCCGTCGCATAGGCAAAACGGCAAAGAGATGGACCGGTTGTTGCATCCTGATTTTATCGTTAGGCTGGCGAACGTATCCAACAGACCCTCCTTCCTCCTGTTTCCCCCACAACCATCACCTTGGGAGGTGGGTGGATGGGCTGAGAGAGGAAAACTGGCCGAAAGCCTACAGGCAGGACTAGAACTCTCCACCTCCTGGTGATTGACCAAAGGCCACCCAGCCGTCTTTCATGCCTAGGGTGGGACTGGAACTCCCCGTCTCCTGGTTATTAGCCCAGAGTACTAGAATTCACGATTCCTGGTGATTGGCCCAGAGTTTCCCAGATGGGTTTTCAAGGCTAAGGTGGGACTGGAACTCCCAGGCCCCCCGGTTTCTAGTCCAGCCTCTTAACCCCCTTCCTGTGACGAGAAGGCATGACATCATCCTATGTTCTCTTTTCAGAGCACGCTGCTCTCCAGCCTGTCTCGCTACTTCCGCCGCGGTGGCCCTTCCTCGCCTGGCGGGACCCTTCTCCCTTCTCCCCAGGGAAAACCCTCCTCCAAGCTGGGGCCGGAAGGCCAGGAGCCCCTCTTCCAGCTGGTGCACACTTTTGTCAGACACGTGCAAAGATAAAGACACCCCCCCACCCCCCACCCCATCGGGGCTGAAGGCGATTCCCACACCAGCTTCGTCTCCCGTCGATTCCGGGACCTCCACCCCCAGGGAGGCGTTGACTGCTCTCTTCCAGCGAAGGACCACTGTCTGCAGGAAAGGCCACCATCATCACCCCCCCCCCCCCCCCCCCCCCCAAAGCAATTGTGTCACGAGTAAATTTGGCTTGGCCTTCGTAAGCCTGTCCCTTATTTTTCTAGCTTAACGTACCGCAGATGGAGAGAGCTTGAATGTCCCTTTTGGGGCGGAATATATATATACGATTAATCTCGTAGGTCAAAAGGATAGTTTTGCAATGAGCTCTGCAAACAAGAGCAGAGAACCTCCTGCTCCCCACTGGACCCGTCTCGGCTCTTCCCAGGGCAGAGAGGAGATATTTTTTATAAAGTCCTCGATCCCCTTTCCAGGGCAGGGCCGAAAAACCAGAATCCCATTGCTTGAATCGCCCTCTTTTTGTACGAGTTTTGTTTCCTATTTATATTGATTAAACATGTTTCTAAGCAACCCTGGGGCCTCCAACCTCTTGAATGTTCGCCAAGGGTAGCCCAGGTCGGCTTCCAAGCTCTCAGGAAAGGATAAAAGCGGCGCGTACAACGATCGGAGGAGGCCTCTGGTTAACGTCGGCTCTCCACACTTCGTATCCTGAACCCCCCCCCGGCGGCTCTTGACGTCGACATCCGAACCCGTAAAACATCCTTCAGCCATCTCGATGAAACATACGGGATGAAACAAGCGTGTTTTGCTTTGGGTCGAGATTGAAAGGCAGGCAGTCCTCGAGTTACAGCCGTAATGCAGCAACAGCAATGGCCCTTAAGATGTCCGTCTGTTACGGCTGTAACTCGAGGACTGCCTGCCCTGTAGCGCTTTACAACGTTCTCTGGGCTGTTTACAAGGCCAGGCCTCTGCCCCCCCCCCCAACAGTCTGGGTCCTCATTTTATGGACTTTTAAACCTGCCTGTTACGGTGGCTAAGGCGTGATGGTTTCAAAGCAGATCATCATGCGACTGACCCAATTTGGCTACCATTTTTTTTGGGGGGGGGGGGAATTGTTGAGCGAATCACCCTGGAGGTTGAGTGATATGCCGGTTGCTAAGTGAACCCATTGTCTGCCATGGAGCGTTTGTTAACACCAAAAACCACTCACAAAACGTTGGCAAAATCATTGTAAATTGCAGTTGTGATGGGGGGGGGGGGCTGCAAACTGACCAGTACCCGAAATGCGGTCATGTGGCCATGGGTGGGCGGGACTTTTTGGAACTTCGGAACTGGGTCATGAGCAAATGTGAGGGGATCTTTTTTTTCCACATTTGCAACCCAAATTCGGACGCTCGGCAATTTGGTTCATACTTACAACGGTCAGGTGACCTTTTCAAAAAGCAATGTCAATGGGGAAGCCAGATTCGCTTAACAACCGGGTTGCTAACTTAAAACTGCGGTGATTCCCTTAACTGTGTCAAAGTAGGTCGTAAAGTGGAGCAACGCTCGCTTGAGAAACGACTCATTTAGCAACTGAAATTTGGGGCTCGGTTGTGCTCCTGACTTGAGGGCTACCTGCATTTCCCTAACCTCCGGGGCGAATCCCGATTTTTGCCTGAGCCTTGCGGGGGAAAAAAAAAAAATTAGCTAACAGCCACGGACATCCTTGGGGTTTTTTTTTTGGGAAGAAGGCAGCTGAAAGCGGAGAGCAGCTCTAACTTTTTATTAATCAAAGACAGCAGTAACAAGAGTTTTGGGCATTTCCTTTACATGTGAGCTCTTGGCCCGTTTCAAAGTCTGCGATTGTTTAAGGAAACTCGGCAAAGAAAGGGAAAAAAAAGCAGAATGCAAACGGTTGCAAGGAAAGATTGGAGGGGCAGAGGTTCCCCCCACCCCCCCAACCCAGAAAAGTGGGCTTCGGTTCCTTGCCTCCCCCTGGCGAGATTTCCCAGATCCGTGGCCCCTGTGGGCAGAGGCGGGTTCCTGACTCGGACCTGGGATACATGCCAAGCACCGGAGAATGCAAAGGGGGGGGGACATTCAAATTGGGGGAAACGGTGCAAAAGCTTTAAACCGAGCACACAGGAAGGACGTCTAGTACTTAGAAAAGGGCAATTAAATGTTTTATCCTGGGGGGGGGGGGGAAGAAGGGATCCCCCTCTTGCTACAACAGCTTCAGATCCAATCTTTGTTCCTAGGATTCATGATTTCGGCTCCCTCAAAGCAGATTCTAAGCTCCTGAAAGCCACAGGAATATGTTTGGTTTTTTTTTTTTGCCCGAAGATCACACCAGCGAGAGTCTCCCGCCGGCCAAATGTACCTGCCCCCAAAGATTTGGCAATGCCCCACCCTCCTGGGACGTTCCGCGGGTTGTTCCTCCAGGAAAGGAACCCCGTAAAGGCTCGGCCTGGAACGGATTTCCCCAGAAAGAGCAGAATTACCTAAACCCCACGGGACTTAAGAAGAAACTCAAGAGGGGATAATAAAATGAAGCCCAGCGAGAGAACAGACAGACGGGACGTTTGCAAGTTGTTCAAAATATATTGCATTTACGGAAGGGCTCTGCAACCCGACATCAGCTTTAAAAGCACGAAGAAGGGGAAAAAAAATAAGAAAGCACCGGTCAAGCGTTGAACCACACGGCCTCAGGCAGCGGGACGGTGGCCGAACCTGCTTCATGCTGGATGCTAGCTTACACTGGTTTTGCATATGGCTTCAAATTCAGGAGAAGCCCCCCAAGGATTCGAGCAATGGGGCGTGAAGAGCTTTGACAAAAGTCCGGGCTCCTCGATCTGCAGGCAGGTGTGTTTCGTGTTGTGTGTTGTGTGTGTTTGCACACATGAAGGCAGTGCGAGAGAGTAAAACACAAAAGGTGTGGAAAACTGGTTGCACGGCCAGATAACCAAAGCCTAACCGTTCAAAGAAACTTCAGCCAAGAAATTCTTAGGGTCTTTCTATCGGAAAGGTTGACCCGAGGCGAAAACTTTCTTCTCCCAACAGGCTCGGAGTTGGGGAATGGGCTCGGATGGATGAGCAAAAGGGGGGTGGGGTGGGGGCTCGGATTGCGGTCAGGAAAAAAAACACCCCCTTTCTCTCCCCACGTTACCCCCCCCTCCATCTGGAATGTCTGAAATCAACTGAAGAGTCGGAAAAAGACGGGACGAGGGAAATGGAGTGAGAAAAAGGGGAAAGGAGAAGAGGGGGGGAAAGGAAGGAAGAAAAGGCCAAAAAAGAAAGGAAAGGGAGGTAAGAAAGAAGAAAGAAGAAGGGGAAAGAAGAAAGGAGAAGGAGAAAGGAAGGAAGAGGAGGAAAGATGAAAACGGAGGGAGGGAGGGAGGAAAAATTAGAAGATGGGAAGGAAGGAAGGAAGAGAAGGAGGAAAGACGGAAACGGAGG